AGCCGCAGTGTCAGAAGTGTGCTCAGCGGAGTGGAGGATGGACAGATAAGGAGCGAGGTAGAGGCAACTGTGGCCGGCAGAGCCCAGAGCCTGGGAAGTTGGCTCAGGGTCCTCCTGGATGCTGGTGCTCAGCTGCCACTCATCCCACGGATGGGATGACTGAGCCACACAAAGCTCTGCCGTCTGCTCATCGCCAAGGAGGACCCGGGCCTTGTTCCCAGACAGCCAGTGGACTTCCCACTCTGCTGCTCAGGGGGGCTTCATGGGAGGGAGAGTTGACGTGGAAAGATCCCACTGGTGCCCCCTGGTGGCCAGGTCGGTGGAAGCCTCAAGTTCTCCTTGGACGCGATGACAATTTTTCTTCTCTGGAAAGAGCAGAGCTGCCTGGGGAAAGCCTTCGACTCTGAGCTCATCCGGAGTTTCACACACTCGTCTTGAGTAGGACGGAGCTCCAGCCGCTCCCCATCAAGCAACTGTCACCACATGCGGTGTGTGGTGGGCCGTGGGCTGGGGAAGGAAGCGGGGCCTCTGCATGGGCTAGGCCGATGCTGTGCTGCTGAGCCCGAGGCCCACACTGGCGCGTCTTCATCTTCCCCACTGCAGCGCTCACGTCTGCTTGCTTTCTGCCCGCCGGTGCCCCTGGATCTCCCCGTGCAGGTGGAGAAGCTGGGGCTGAGGTCGGATCTGACCAGGGCCCTGGGGACCCAGGCAAGGGTGAGGAACTCCCAGGACCAGGTCCTCAGGCCGTGTATCTCTCCGCTGGGACAGCGCTCCCAATGGTGGCTCTCTGGCTATCTTTAATTCTGGTACTGCTGCCAGTGCTTATTATGGGATTTGGGTTGCCATGGCCATGGTCGATCTGGGGACTGATCTGAGGTAGGAAGATCAGACAGAAGTAAAGTGGACGAGGACTGATCCCGTGTGGACTTCCAGAAGCTTCCTCCCATGAGCCAGCTGTGAGTCAAGCAATTCCCTGTTTCCAAAGTGTCTGCCAGTGCATTTCTTAGTGTTCTCATCATGTCATCTCTAGCTGCTCCTTGCAGTTGCATGGTCAGGTGGAGGACTCAATTCCATTTTCTCCATCGGCGTGGCCCTCTTCAGCCGAATTAAAATGAACAGGTGATGCTTGCAGAGAAAGGACTACGCATCTTGTTTAAGAATGCATTCACCTTACAGTGAATGACGCTGCTTCCTGGTATAAATGGGAGGCAGTGCATCTAATAGTCTGTATCCATCAAGGCTGACTGCACGTATGTGCCAGCTGGATGCAGAAAGATGTCTCACTAGAAATCATGAGAGAAGCATTCAGCAGGAGAGGGACCATGGACACAAGCCATTCTTTTACGAGCAGAGGCTCGAGAGCCGCAAGCTCGGGGAATGACGGAGGGCCTCTTCCATGTTGGAGCTAAGGATGAGTTAAGCGCCATGTTGTACCTACAGAGCCATGTGTCACTATGGCTTAGTGTCAATCGGTGAGATTTACCAGCACCAGCGAGAGGAACCCTAAGAAGGTTGGGTGCAGATGGGATGCGTCTGCGCGGTGCGGACGGCTGGTCTTCAGGACCAGCGCTGCGCTGCCGTGTCGTCAGGAGTTGGTCAGATGTGGCCTTGATTTGGCCTCCAGGAATGGTTTGGAGGACAGGAGCCCCAGCCCTCTGCTCCATGCTGCCAGTGGGACGCAGGACACTGAATTCAGGACCACACTGCATGGCCACCTGGGATGAAAAGGCGTGAACACCAGGACAGTCCCTGGGAACTGGCTGGACACTGCTGTGTGGGTCTCCCGACTGCTTCTCCCGCCACAGCTGCATCATCCCAGGGATGGAGGGACTGTGGAAGTGGCTCTCCTGCCCCTGCTGCCACCCAGGAGCCTGACCCGGGGGCACCAGCCGCGCCTGGTGCTGCTCCCCGGCAAGAAGGCTCAGGTTCCACCTGCGCTCGGGGGAGGCCTGGGGAGGGCTCTACTCATGGAGGGCTGTGTTCGAATCCTGACTACCCACTCCCCTCAGGCTTCCAGGAGTGGCTCCCGGCCTCCACTGACGGTGCCTTACAAAGAATATAGAGCTGAGCTGTGCGTGACGGGCTCCCCTGGGAATCAGGACTAGGAAAGGCACGCGGTGTGTTTGCTACACAGTGCTGGCCTGTGACAAAAAGGGCAGCCCCCTTCCAAACACCACATCTGGGAGGGGTGATCTGACTCCACTCAGTCCCTGCCCCAAAGGAGCCTGGGAAACGGTGCTGCAAACCACGTCTCAGAGAACAGCAACGGGAGGGGGCCAGTTAGCTCAGCAGCAGGGGGAAATGGCACCAAGGCACTCTTCAGGGCACCGAGAGGCTCTTATGGGTCCCGTCTACGGCCAGTACTGGACCCCCTGGGGATTTTCAGGTCATTGTTTCCTCCTGGGATCAGGAGCAGAGAGGACTGGAAATTTCACTGGAGATCTTAAACACTGGTGGTTCAGTGAGAAAGGCACGGAAACCTAGTTAGCACAAAGAAGATTTGCCTCTGTCCTTCAGAAGTTTCCGGAGCTGGGCGCCAGTGGCTCACGCCTGTCATCCCAGCTACTCAGGAGGCTGAGATCTGAGGATCCAGGTTCAAAGCCAGGAAGGAAAGTCCATGAGACTCTTATCTCCCATGAACCACCAGAAAACCGGATGTGGCACTGTGGCTCAAGTAGTAGAGGGCTCACCTTGAGCTGGAGAGCTGAGGGACAGCGCCCAGACCTAGAGTTCAGGCCCCATGACTGACCCCCCCCCCAAAAAAGTTTCTGGAGCCGCAGGTGGGTAATGGAGATGGTCTCAGTCATGGTTATAGTGAACTCTTGAAGGCTGAGAGTTCTTAGGAAGCAGGGCTGCTTATTTAAGTCATGTTCTGAATGGTTCTTCACTCCTGCTATCTCTATCCTAGTAATTTCTAACAGCAGGGATTGGCTACTTGGAAGAAACAGAGTTGGATTTATCCATGAGAAGGAGCCACCAGGGAAGCAGAGGCAATGCGCTGGCCCGGTAACCGCCTGTAACAGAGCTGTGTGATTAAAGCTGTGTGTCTGGGCCTAGGAGAACCTTCTTCCTAGCGCGGACCCTGCTCTCCTGGCCAAGGGAGGGGCAGAGCGTCTCCCCCACTCCGTGGGACCGCTTCTGTGCCTGTGTAGTGGGGAGGGGAGCCAGAGGCCCTGCAGGATGGGATGGGAGCCATGGGACGGGAACCCCTCAGTCCAGCTCCAGCCCTGTGACCCACCCTGACCTCTTCCAAGAGTCCCAGAGTGGGGGGCCATTCCACTCTCAGGGGCAGGGAGGGTGGGGGGCCATTCCCGGCATCGGCGGGCAGAACAGGACAGGACAGACTCGCTGTGCTGCTGCCCGCGTCTTACCTTCCCTCACCGAGAGGAGGGAACCCTGGGGAAGGAGCTCATGATTCCTTTATTCTACACCCTGGACATTGGAAGGGCCTCAGAGCCCAAAGTCCCCTTCAGGTCTCTTGCTATCTGTCAGGACCTGACTTTTCCTGTGAGCCACATAGTGGTGGTGTGTTGAGAAGCGTGGTGATAGCTGGGCCTGGGGTTCTCATCTGAGCTCTACTATGAACAGGGCGTGTGTGTGTGTGTGTGTGTGTGTGTGTGTGTGTGTGTGTGAAAGAGAGAGAAATAGAGACACACACACACAGGACAGACAGACAGTAAGGAGTCACTCAGCCTCTCTGAATATGGTTTTTCTAATTGGTATAACAGGACCAATATTTTCTCGAACAAAACCACCTCTCTCTTTGGGGCCTGGCACTGGTAGCGCATACCTTCAAACCTAGCTTCTCAGGAAGATCTCAAACTGGAGGATCTCAGTTTGAAGCCAGCCCAGGCAAAGAACTCTGAGGGATTCTATTTTCAATTAACCAGCAAAGAGCTAGACTTGGAGGCATGGCTCAGGCAGCCAAGCACCAGCTGAGCAAGTAGGCTGAAGGAGTTCCGGGCCTTATGTTCGAATCTTGGTACTAGCAAATAAATAAACAAGTAAAAAATAAAATAAAAAAGTCTTGGGGGTGGAATGTTTGTGAGCTATAGAAACAATAAAAGCTATAAGTCCACTGCACAGCTTCGGAAGCTACAAGGCTCTGAAGAAGGCTCAGTTCCTACCCAGGAGTTTTCTTGGAACTCAGAGCTTGAAAACCACCCTGAGCTCCTCAAAATGAGCCCAAGGCTCACAATCAGATTCATTATATATAGAACTTTTAAAAGAAATGTGGACTTTCCTTTTCTTGCCTTTCACTGGCAAACAGAGCTTTGGTTAGCGGAAAGCCAAGGAGGGGATGTTAATTGCTGGTTTTTATATTTGAAAAGGGAGATTATTAGCCGAAGTCTCAATTCAGAAACTTCAAGAAGAAATGGAAGGGTGTGGCCAGGGTTTGGGAGGGGGACTGCATTTCCTGTTTTCCTTTCCAATGGTGTCGACAACACGGATAGGAAACCATGGAGACCTATCATGAATTCCAAAATTCATTCTTCTTGCCACCAAGAGCCCAGCCCCATAGGTGATGGGTAGACGTAGTCAAGTGTTCTTTTGTGAAGGAGTCTGGGTAGCAGGAGTGGAGCTGGCCCTTTGCAGGAGGAGGATGGGATTCAGAGAAGTGACATCAGCTCGTAGCAGGGGCCAGGCAGCAGAGCCCAGGGTCTGGTTTTCATTTACAGTTTGGGTCTGTCCTGCAGTGAGGAGAGAGGAGGGGTCTGGAGGAAGGGAGGAGGAGGAGGAGGAGAAGGAGGAGAGACAGGAGGAGGAGGAGGAGGAGGAGGAGCTGGACTGTACCCTGGACCCTGTCCAGTTTGGAGCTTAGCTCTCCACCAAAGACGGCTCAGTTGTTGAGCCTTCAGCAAAGATTGCAAGAGGAGGCGTCCTCCTCTCTCCCTGGGCTCCCCTGTGCTTGGTGGAGGAAGGCTGCGGAAAGACAGAGGGACACCGTGAGGGGGAGCAATATGCATTCTGGTGGACATAATTGACTCTAGAAGTCAGGGACACGCATCTTCACGCTGCTCAGGGTGAGTGTGATTTCCCTTCCCCTCACTGTGGTTAGGAAGGGAATGCTCTGGAAACCGGAGGTGACCACATTTTAGGACCTCCGTGCGTCTCGGTTTTCAGTGCTTGTTCTGGGTTTCTGGAGGAGTCTACTGATTTCTCTCACCCCCTTTGTAGCAACTGGGTTGCGTTCCCGGGGTTGAGGTCGCGGCGTTGCCAAGAGCAGAAGGGGCTCTCAGCGCGCTCGTGATAGCACTGTTTTCTCAGCCTGTGATTTATGGGGAGTTCTCGCCTTCTTCCCAACGGGGCTGGAATCTGCTTTGTTCCCAGAAGCGTCTGGCGGGAGACTGGCGAGCGGACCGGTGGGGGCTTCAGGGTCTTCTGACAGCGACCCCAGGCTTGAAGCGTGCGCCGGGGGTCCCTGCCCTGGGCCACCCATGGGAAGGAAGAGCGAGGGTAGTACATTATTGCTGTCTTCACAAGGTTGGGGGGCTTGGGCTTGGGGTTCAGTGTGGATCTGCTCAGCCCTGATCAGAAGGGCTTCATCTCTTCAGGAGTCTGAAGCCACGCCGGAGACCGTCCTTGGGGACAGGCCTTTGCTCTTGGGGAGCTGCAGGGTCAGCGGGGGAAGGAATGTGAAGGGGGCGGGCACTGTGCCAAGGGGACGAGGCAGGGCTCCGGGGCTGCGGGCTGTGTGCCGTCCAGATGTGCAGGGCTCCGGGCCAAGCCGGGAGGCCCAAGGGCGATTCCCTGGCCCCGAGGGCCCAGGGTGGGGCTCAGGTCCTCTCTCAGGAAAGCTGTGTGCTGGTGTAGCGACTTCTTCCAAGCCTGCCACCTAAGAAAGATGGGCAGGGGGGAGACAGGACGAAGACGCAGGGAGGGTCCTGGTGCTGGGGGAGCAGTTCAGACAAACCCAGAGAGCCCAGGGCAAACTTTGAGGCTGCTTTGGAAGGACTGGTGGTGACCCGTGTGGCGGCCTCCCTCCCGCCCGAGGAGCAGGGTGGGCTCTCCCAGGGTCCCGTGTGCCCTGGCGCGCACCATAGCCCCCCATCTCCCTGAGGTCCATTCTTACTATGGCAAAAAGTTGAGCAGGAGTCGTGTCACAGTCAAAATCGCGATGCTCCTCACCCAAATGATGCGGGAGTGCCGCTGGCTGGCTACGGAGCTGTTCCCAGGACTTCCAACTCCTTCACCAGGGTGAAGATAATGGAAGAGATTCTTGGCCGGTGGCCACCGATGAGCTGTTCCTGGGCTTTAAAGATGAGAAATCAAAGGCTCCAAATGACTTGGTAGGGCCATGGTCAAGGGGGTGATGAGCCACGCATGGAGACCCCGCCAAGCTTTGGAGTGGGCTCCCTGACCTGACTCTCTAGAAGAGCCTTCTCCTGTCCCGTGCTGCGAAAGGCAATAGGAAAAGTGGTTGAGGCCCCGTAGCAAGTAACGGAGGAAGCGGCGATGCCCCTGCAGGGAGGGTGGCATCGCTCTGGCACTGAGAATCGGGGTGAGCCGCCCTCAGCCAGGCCCCCTCTGGGACCTGGGGGTTAACGCTGAGGTTTGCTCCACTGGGGTGTGACTGGGTACCGAGGATGCAGGTTTGGGGTGGGGCATCGCTCTGGCAGACGCGTGGGGTGCAGGAACCGCAGTTCTGTCTCTGGACACCTGTGCTGCGCCAAGGCCCTTTCACACCCAGAGTCCTTTACTGGGTTTTTTCCCCTTGCTCACGGCTGGGAGAAGCCACCAGCGGGCAGACCTCGGACGGGGCAGGGAAAGAGGACTTGGGACGATGAGCAGCCTGGGTGGGACTTGGTGCCTCTCTTGGGTTTTTCCTGTCTGGGAACCAGAGGGCATGGCTGGAGCACCTTCTGGGAGGTGGCTGGGGACAACCCTCGAGTGTCAACCCTTGGCCAAGAGGTGTGCACCCCACCCCACCATGGTCCAGGTCATCAGGTGAGGGGCTAGAGGCCAACTGCCCGAGCCCAGGGGCTTCGTGATGTTTCTGGGAGGAAACGGACATCTTTCTGAATAAGACCTGTCTTCATGTCTACATTTCCCTTTCTCTCACACGTGTCACTCACGGGAAGTGACGGTAAATCGGGAGGAAACGATGTACGTTTCCAGTGAAGCCTTGCACCCTGGTCTCAGTTTGGGGTGCTGAAGGCCAGCGTATTCCTCCTCCCCCCGGCGTCCTTGCTGAGAGGCGGGGAGCTGGCCCTGTCTGCCAGAGCTCTGCTTGCTTCTCAGAGTTTAGGTGGCCTGGATTAAGGGTCGCTTACCGGTGGTCTGCATCTTTTATGTGAAATTCCGTTTAGGATGGAAAACTCACCAGCCAGTCCCAGATTCGGTGGCATGAGACTTTCTTGCAAACATGCGAACAACTTTAGCAGATTTTCCTTTCTTTGAAAATGTGTTTTTGTCACTTGGCTGTGGAAGAAAGCTGAGAATTTGGTATCTGTTGGGGAAGAATGATGGGCGGTGGCTCTCTGAATGAGACCCTGTGTCCCAGGAGGCTTTTCCACCAGAGCTGCAGGAGCAAACTTCACATGGTGTTCTGGCCCTGGCAAACAGACAATGAAAACACACCACCACTGCATAAATAGTTGACGATTTGAGGGGGAAAAAAACCTCTGGTAGCTCTAGCTAAGGAAAGCAGAGCTCCAAAAATGATTCCAGTTCTAAAGCTGGCAACGTTTAAAGGTTCCTGCTACTTCAGACTAGATAAAGCCTCCGGATAAAGTCTGTTTCCGCTAGAAGAGCTCTAAGAGACAATCCTGCTTTTAAAATATAAGATGTTGCTTTGTCCTGTTCAAACCATGATAAGGAGAATCTTAGTCTCAGTGGCACCCACAGGTCCTGGCTTTAAGAACAGGGGTTCTGTTCAGGAAGGCGGGATACGGCTTTCAGACATGGTCTATTGGGAAGAAGAAGATGGTGTGGCTTGGTGCCTCCCATCTTGGAAGAGTGGGTCCTGGTGATGTGATTTGGTTTCGTTCCTCTAGAGGGCAGTACGTCCCTCTGAACGTAGGAGTCCTCTCAACGCGGTCTGTGCAGTTTCTCTGGGTGGGGTTCTAGTGTTCTTGGGGTGTCATTGATGGATGCCCAGCAGGGAATCTGAGTCACCTTAGGGTGGTCCCAGAGTCTGTTTCCACACTATATATGTACATGTACAATATATACACTTATGCACATGTATATATACATGTATAAATGTATATATGCGTTTACACACAGTCTCTGAGAGGCACATGGCAATTGAGTTTTGCTTTTCCCTCACATTCATGTGTGAGTGCACTGAGCCAAGACCCTGCCTTCAAGGGAGCTTAATGTGTGCTTGAGCCCCCACCCCATGAAAGAGCACTGGGCACGTGAGCCGTTGGAAAGGAGCTAGTTCTCCGTGTCCAATTACAGAAGTTTGCATGAGCAGCTGCGGGCTTGGGGCCTGAAGCACACTTGCATCCTTGTGTGTGGAATCTGAGCAGGATCTTTTAATTAAAATGAGCTGATCCAGTAATTCCTAAAGTAGTTGGTGTCTGCCATTTTATGTTTTCCCCCAAATGGAAAATCAGTTTAAACATGTTAAAAAAAATCCCACAGAGTGAATGGCCCGTTTCAATTGCTTGTTAATTAAAATTGTGTTACTGCTGCTCTCTGACTTGTGACTGTGAACCTGTGGTAGGCATTGCTAGAACCCCCAGGTGGGAATTCCAGCGCTCTGTCTGTAGTTTGCCTGTGTACACTCATTTTCACTTAGCTTACCATGACATGATAATATGCTCCAACACATGGACAGGGGACAAAAAATGACAAAGATGTAGAACTTGCCTTTCTGCTTGGTTAGTTGAAATCCTGAAAAAATATTGTTTTGGCAGACACTGTCTTTGTACCGTTCCCATGCCAGGCGAGGACAGGAGCTTGGAGAGTTGCGTGCCTGGGAGAAGGCCCTAAGTGCCAGTGCTGGCAGTTGAGGCAAAATCAGTTTCTTGAGTGCTCTGCATGTGTCTCATGTAATTTAGCAAACAGGTATCTGGGGTCAACATGGTAAAGGATAGAAACATTTAGGAGTATATTTTAGAATACCATATGGAGAAAGGCACTATATATATATATATGTATATACACAATATATACACTTATATAGGTATACATATACATGTGTATATGTATTTACACACACACACACATATATGTGTGTATATGGACACACACACATATATTGTGCTTGTACTGGTACTTGAACTCATGGCCTTGTGCTCTTGCTTGTCTTTTGTTGTGACTTAATTGGAAATAGGCATCTCTTGGATTTTCTCTGCCCAGACTGGCTTTGCACCTTGATCCTCAGAGTTCAGCCTCCTGAATAGCTACAGGTGTGAGTGAGCGGCTGGCAGCTCGCTCTGCACTTACCGGTTTGATTTTGGGTTAGCATCTTTGCATTTGATTTAGCAGAGGAGGATTAACTGTTGTTTAAAAAATCTGGAAAGAAAAAGGAGAGAAGAAAAATGAAACAAATATGAAAGTTCTGCCAACCTCCTCCCTGGGGCCGCGTGCTGGTCTGACGGAGCCTGGCTGCGTTTAGCACCACCCGCTCCCACTGTGCTCCAGAAACACAGAACACAGAGAAACGTCCGAGTGGTGGGCTGGCTGGGGGCATCAGTGGCTGTGGTGTCTGTGCACTCTCTGATGTCTTCCACCCGAGATTGTCCCGGACCCAACGCAGGGGAAACGAAGAGATCATGGGTCGGTTTGGTTTCAAAATTAAAACTTGAGCAGCAGCTGGATATGACTCAGATCTCAAGGGAAACCATTCCAGGAAACTGGTTTTTCATTTCTGGAACCTTCATTAGTTGATTCAGCAACTAGTGCTGGCACAGGGAGCTTCAGCCAGCTCAGCTCGACCCATATAGAGCCTGACGGGGCCCAGGCGCTGCTGGGAGGGCCAGCTAGCCCCTGTGGCTTGGAGCCCACCAAGCAGAGCAGAGCATGGAGCCTTGTCTGGGGACCTGGGTCAGGTCTGCCCTGCCCCCGCAGG